TTTGATTGATTTGTTCTCGATGTTGCGGCCGGCCCAGGAGGATAGAAGTGGAGCCCGAGCCACAGGTCGCGCTGGACCTGGCAAACCCAATGCAACGCGAACGAATCCTCGGATCACCCGGTGGAGTGATAATGGGGAAGCAGGGTGGGTCATTGATGCAGGTCTCATTGCAGCCTAGGCCGTCGCTGAACCGACTGGTGGAGGCGTCCACTGGTGTGAAGTCTAGATCATGATCCAGAAACTGGCCCCATTGCATTAACATGGCGGAGGTCTCATCATCCTCATCAAAGAGTTCCTCCTCAAGAGTGAAGCCCGGAGGGATACCGGCCACCATCGGTCGCTTCGTCGACATGTTATGCATTCCTGCCAGTTTAATTTGTTCATTGAGTGTTTGCAATCTGAAAGGGGAGTGGGAAGATGACATGGGATGGTGCGACGTTGGCCAATTTACTGTCACCGAGCCGTTCAATTGTAAGACCGATGCAACCCCGCTCAGGGAACAAAAACCAGGTCATCGTGGCATATTGCGTCCTCGCCTTTTTTATACTTGACGCTTCTGCGCTCTTGTAGCTAGATGGAGCGTAATCTACTTCCTTTGTGAAAACAAACTGCAAGAATCGCAAAAAATGCTCGGCATTTGCTTGCACTGGTAGATATCTCGATAACCTCATCATTCCTCAGGAATCGGGTTCCTGGTACGTATGCTCATTTGCAATTAGCTGTAGAGAAATCTAGCGCGGGAACGCAACATACCACCTCGAACTTTATCCGGTTTACCTATTACCGCGTGCTCCTTTCCGCCGTTTAGCCCAACCTATAAAACTCGTATTACATGATGAAGGAAAGCAAAAACTCCGCACTGCAACTCCTAGAGTTTCTTCACTCCCCAAGGCCGACTTAAGTAACTGAGAAAGTTGCTCTCTCCAAGGCCGGGGCCATATGCAGTAACGCAGTATAAATTCTGTTTATGCATATAGATCACGTAGTTGGCCTGAAAGGATTGCAAAATGGGTCCTTTTTTGCAACGCTGTTAGATGCTTACTGAAGAAAAAGAAAGCAGGGGCGGCTGGAAAGTCATCGTTAGACACACCCAACCCCCACTTCGAGACAAATTGGGGTCAGAACGCTACGACTACCACCATAACCACCGCCACTACGACTACTGTTGTTGTTGCTGCTGCTGCTGCTGATGATGATGATGATGATGATGACGACGACGACGACGACGACGACGATAATGGTGATGATTATTATTATTATTATTCTTATTGGAAGAAGAAAAAGAAGAAGACAGGTTCATGGACAGGACTCCATTTGTACTGTCGCTTCAGAACTCCCCTCATTTTCATCATCAGAAGGATACGCTAATTGTTCCTATTAACTTTACCTTATACGTATTGAAAATTCGCCCACGCTACGAATATGAGGGATAGGGAACAACACGCACTCAGAACCATTAGCCCAGGCTACACTGAACACTCCCTACGAACCAAGGAGAAGGGCAAGCCCATAAATTGCATGACTGAGAGATGCATTGATCGTTGCTCAAGGCCAGAGCGTCTGACCCAGAAGTCAACGATTAGATTCCGTCCTGCGATACAAGTTTTCTGGCTTGGCGAATTCCCCTATCCTCCGCGGTAAGTGTTGAGAAAATAAATGTTACTAACAAGTTTACAAAAACGGGCAAATTTTTGGCGCTGCTAATACTTCAGGAAGGGTCAGTACGATCCGTAAGATCACATTCGAATACAAGACTCATCAACTGTTAGTTCACACGATTATGACAACTCTGACTGTGATCTTTGTCAAAACCACACAGACGATGGGATCGTGATAAATAGGACGTGAAAGTACTTCTAGGAATCAGTTATCACTCGTTATATAATCCATAAGGGGGACCTACTTCTTCGTATGTACTTGAAGTTTTGTGGCATCCCCGAGGAGAGTGTAGGAGACAAGGCGGGCCGAGGGTTTGGGAAACCCGAAGTACAGTCTCTCCGGCGACCAACCCACTGGCGTATTTACTCCGTTCTCGTAGACCGGCGGCAGAAGTCTATAAAAGGGTGCCAGTGCGGTGCCCCAGCGGGGATTCTTTAAATTATTACAACTGCCGTCTATGGACCGGTATCGAAGATGGAAACAGAGCTGTTTCTCGCAGGGGTTAACGCGCTGGGACTGCACACAGCCCGACAGCTGGGCCAGTATAGCCAACTGTTCTGCAGTTAACTGGACCCCCATAGCCAGTCGTTTCTGCTCATCGTAGTCCTCATCGGCACGGTAAATATGATCTTCATCCTTCCCCAGTCCCTCCTTACGCTGTTTCTGCAGAATCTGAGTGACCTCGTCGAGGGCGGCCTCGTAGACTTCTGCTGCCCTCGCCAGCTCAATAGCCGCCTTGCTGGGTTGTCGGAAGAGCGAAGCAATATCAGAGGCCGTTCTGCGATTCGCAGGGTCGCGCAGATTGTCCGCGGTTCGCTGTATGGCCGCATCAATGCGCTTGCGTGCCTTTTCGATGACCCGCTTCACCAGGTCCTCCGTGGACTCCCCAGTGGACAAGGCTTCTCCGTCGGCACCTTCTCCTTTTCCGGACTGTTTATCCATCTTCATCTCTTGGTCCATCATAGGCCTTTTGTCCTGCTCACTCTCCATGGTAGTCACTTGTGTCTGCAGAGTGACGACAGAGCTCACTCTGGCGGAACCGGCTCTGTTTGCGGCGTAGCAGATGTATCTACCCTCGACATCGCGCGTTGTGACATTTCGGATAATGAGGGTGGTCGATTCTTCCGGTCCGTCTACAAAGGCCTCACTGTAGGGCCCCTCCGCCTCCAGAATACCCGTCTGTAGGGGTTTGGCCTGCAACTTGGAGGCTGAACGCACAATGTAGCGGTTCTCTGTGGACAGTCGTTGAGCTGACGTAGTGCGCATCCAGAGCCAGGAGACGCTGGGACGGGGACGTCCACGGGCGGCACAGACCAGTACAAGGTCACTGCCAACCGGTCCGCCCTTGGCTTGGGCAGCAGGGGCGTCCGTTATTTGCGGCTTCAAGGCGTCCAAGATTTGTAGGCTTGCAGAGTGTCTCACCTGGCCGTGCGCGTTCTCGGCCACGCAGGTGAACGTACCCTCGTGGTAGGCATGCACTTCCCGCAACTCCAGAATCTGCATGTAATAGAGAAGGACAGGTGTAACATTAAGAAGGGCGGATAAAATGCAGGTCTAACGCACAGTAAAGAAGGCAGCGGTGAGATGAAGGACCCCCATTTGGATGTCGGCAGACTGTGGTTGGTGTGCTGCTGTATCTACAGTACGTGGGCTAACTCATGAAATGTCAACCGAAATTCCGAAATGCGTTTTCGTTTCAAAAAGATTAATTAAGTAGGGTTGCAAAACTAGTCAGCCTGCAGCATAATTCCATAAGGATTCAGTTACGTCAGGATGCCGGCTTTCGAATGAACTTTCTTTTTGCTGCATGCAAAAACTACACCCTGTAAAAAATGACTACTTAAGTAGCAAGAAATTTTTCTCATTGATTTTCGATACCCCTAAAAGTCCAATTATATTTCAAGGAAAGCATACATAAAAATAAGCATTCTTTTGCTCATTCGGTAGATGATTACGTCTCCTTCTAATTTTATACTCGAAGAAAGGGACATAATTCGGTTTTAAAAAAGTTTCGACTCGTGAGATTTTTTAATACCGTGAAATAACCGTTCATAAAACGTCATGCCTCTGCATTTACCAATGTGGCTTGTAAAGTTAAAAATATGGCTCAAGTCCACTGTTAAATTTTGTGAACCCCATACAGTTTCCTCATAATGCCGTAGAGAAATGTGTGGTTTTCCGCACGCGGAAAATATACGGCTTGTCGTTTCGAAACCCTGAATCCAAGTGTAACGGTAGAGCAGGTTCAAAATTATCCGAGAATTGGAAAAGTCTGTGAAAACCGATTAATACCCTTCCTTCGAGTATTAGATCAGAAGAAGACGTAATTGTCTACCGAATGAGCAAAAGAATTAATGTTTTCATGCATTCTTTTCATGAAATATAATTGAATTTTTAAGGTCATTGAAAATCAATGAGAAAAATTCATCCTACATATGTTGTCGTTTTTTTACATGCAGCCGGAAGGAAGCTCATTCGAAAGCCGGCATCCTGAGGTAATTAAATTATTATAGAAATATGTTGCAGGCTGACTAGTTTTAAAACCCTACTTTATTAATCTTTTCGAAACAAAAATGCATTTCAGAATTTCGGTTGACATTTCATGAGTAAGCCCACCTGCTGTACTTGCGAAATCTAGTTCAGTACTGAAAACCGGCAGTTTTAACCCACAGTGGAGAAACAAAAAACGCAGACCAACTGGGCATGATGTGCGAAATACCAGAAGTGTTTGCCAAGGGATTGGCTCAGTGGTTTCATGTTTACGCACTCTTTCCTGGTGGAACGCAATGAAATATGCAGCTGGATACCGTTTCTGAATCCTTCCATCATTTTACTTTACAGTATTGTTTTTGTCACCGACCGTCTCCTGCGTTTTCTCGCATTCAGTTCGCTTTCTGTTCGTTGTGCTGCCCTACCCACTAACCCTCGCCCATTACCATCATTACCCTATGATACAATCCACAGTCTACCGACAGGTTGCTGGGGTCATTTACCCTACCGCTACCATCAAGAATAGTGAGTGACCTCTCATGAAATATTGACTGAAATTCTGAAACGAGTTTTCGATTAGGAAGGATTACTTAGACGCGGTTGTTTTACTGATTATTTTGCGGCCTAATCGTATAGTATTTCGGACTCGGCAGGATGTCGGCTTTGAAACACAATGCTTTTTAATCTTCTGTAAAAAACGTACTCGGCAAAAAGGGGCTACTTAAGTAGCATGCATTTTTCTCATTGATTTTCGATGGTCTTGCAAATTTAAATATATCTTGTAGAAACCATGAACAAAAATAAGCTTTCTTTCAGTCAGCTAATAGAGAATCACATCTTCTTTATATTTTCTATTCAAGGAAGGAGTATAATTGGGTTTTAAAAAAGTTTCTAATTATGAAATTTTTTAAGACCGCACAATTTCCATTCACATAGCATCGTACCTGGCCGTTTAGGACAGCTCCTCGTGAAATTTACAACATAGTCCAGATCCATTACAAAATTTTATAAACTCTTTATGGTTTCTTCCCAAAAGCAGAGAGGAATAAGTGATTTTCCTTACGTAGAGAGCATGCACTTTGCAAACTGAAATCGCTAAACGCTAATACAATGGCAGATCTGGCTCAAAATTATTCGGGAACTGGAAAAGATTTTTTAAACCTAATTATACTCCTTCCTTGAATAGAAAATATAAAGAAGACGTGATTTTCTATTAATTGACTGAAAGAAAGCTTATTTTTGTTCATGGTTGCTACAAGATATATTTGAATTTGCAAGATCATCGAAAATCAATGAGAAAAACGCATGCTACTTAAGTAGTTCCTTTTTGCCGAGTACGTCTTTTACAGGAGAGTAAAATGCAGTGTGTTTAAAAGCCGACATCCTGCAGAGTCCGAAATACTATACGATTAGGCTGTAAAATAATTCGTATAACGACCGCGCCTAAGTAATCCTTCCTAATCGAAAACTCGTTTCAGAATTTCAGTCAATATTTCATGAGAGAGGTCACTCACTGTACATATTATTGCTATATTGGTAATAGTTTTTAAAACATAACTGGCATTTGAGTTCAAGGCAAGTCTTCAAGATTGGTTAACTTACGCAACTACTCGCCAACCACTCTGGGCATTCAAATACTGAAATGCCCGGAATCATTGAAGTATGAATTTGATTATGGTGAGCATTTGGTGATTTCATACAACAGGCTCAAAAACCATGCAGAACTATTTTCACAAGTCCGCTTGTCGGATCTTCTTTCGTAGCCGTACCTGCAGTAGACAAAGCCCAGCCTAACCCCTAACCCTACGAAATAAGATCTTGCCGCCTGCGCTTGACGCCAACCCACGAACTGTCCAACCCATCTGCGACGATTCGCTGAGTTCACACGTATTCTACAGTCGTTGATCGATCTCATAAAAAGTTAACTGAAATTCTCAAATGTGTTTTCGACTAAGCAGGACCACTTAAGTGGGGCTATAATATAGACGCTCACATAGAATAGTTCTCTAGCCAGGATTCCGGCTTTTAAATGCACTTCTTTTCGGCCGCCTGCAAAAACCGCATTCGGTAAAAAAGGCGATTTAAGCGGCATGACATTTTTACTGAGTTCAGATGCCCCTAAACATTCAGATGCATTTTATAGAAGTCATACACATGGGTATGCTTTTTCTTGCTCAGTTGGTAGCAAATCACGTCTCCTCCAAAATTCCTACCTGAAGAAATGGTGTATTTTGGTTTTCAAAGAAGTCAGTAGCCATGAGACGTTTTAAAACCGTGAGATATCCGTTCAGATAGCCTCGTACCTGTTCTCCTATGAATGCTGCTTATGACATATATAACATGGTTCACCTGCATTGAAAAATGTTAATGCGCCCTATATTATATCGTCTTAATGGCCTAGAAGAATTCATGATTTTCCTTACATGGAATGTATGCAGCTCATAGACTCTAAACCCCAAACGCAAATGCAACGGTAGATTCGGTTCAAACTTATTCGGAAAATGAAACATCTTTCCAAAACCTAAATATACCCTTTTTCGTGAATATACTTTAAAGAATCCCCGACTTGTCACCAAACGAATAAGAAAAAAATATCTTTTGGAAATGTTTTCAATGAAATATAATTGGATTTATAAATGTGTCGACAATCGGTGAGACACATTCACACTATTTAGGTAGACATTTTTTTACCATGTACGGTTCTGCAGGCAGCCTAAAAAGTGCATTCAAAAATCAACCTCCTCACGCGACTGATGTTTCTGGGGATTATGCCGCAGGATGATGAATATTACAATCCTGCTAATGTAATCCTTCCTAATCAAAAGCATTTCAGGATTTCGCCTAGCATTTCATGAAGTCCGTCACTGACTGTACGTAACAAGGGCAAACAACTTGTAGAAGTTATTTTGCGATTTTTTAAAACACAGTGGCAGGCGCCAAAAGAGAATAAACCTTCGCAGAGACGTGAAAGACAATTTGAGATTAGAAAAAAATGTCAAAAGGTGTAAGTATTGTACAGTTACAAGACAATCTGTATCGCTCGCAACAGTGGTGTGATGAGTGGTTTCTTAGCCTCAACCGTAACAAATGCCAACTTATCCGATTACGATCCAGCAACAGGAGGCCGTTAAGATTTGAATATCACCACTTTATAAGAGGTCACCAGTTCGAATCAGTCAACGAACAAAGAGACCTCGGAGTGTGGATGACGTCGACTCTCAAACCATCCTCTCACTGCGCCAAGATATCAAAGAAAGTTATAGGTATCCTATGCGCGATTAGAAGATCCTTCCTCACTTTCGATGAAGAACTTTTCGGCCGAGTATTTGGAGCACTCGTTCGACCAATGTTGGAATATTGTGTGCAGGCATGGTGTCCCTGGACGAAACAAGATTGCACCCTATCGGAGGACGTACAACGAAGAGCGACCAAGCTAGTCGGCGGATCATGAGAGACTCCTGCAAAAGTTAAAAATATTTACTCTCTCTTACAGACAGTACAGAGGGGATATGATCATGGCATTTAGGATCGTCAGGGGGCTAGACTATGTTCTTCAGTTTGACAATTTCTTCGAACTGGCGCGGACGACCAGTCTTCGAGGCCACAAATACAAATTGAAGCTAAAACTCGAATTGCGGGTCAAATTCTTCTCCCACCGACTGGTTGAAGGATGGAAAAAATTGCCGAAATCAGTTGTCTTAGCGGAAAACGTTGAGACCTTCAAAAGATGACTAGATAAATTTATGCTTGATGGTCAAACATGTAGACGATATCAATTACTGGCATAATTGCTATGTAAATATCTGCATGTTTTTTCATACGTCTATCTGTGAATAGGGTTTTCCATGGTTCTGCCTATATCCCTCATATATACTTAATTATTGGCACTTACACGTCGTCGATCCCATAGGCGCACGAAACTCGTGCGATTGGTTGGCAGGATCCAAGAAATGACCGGCAGCGGCCATCCGTCGGCTTCGCACCTGAAAAATGCCCTCTCTCCCTCGGCGACAGAAACGCCCTGTGGTGCAGCGACAATCGTCGGCGCCCTGTCGCTACGTTCACCCACAGCCTCCTCCGCTGGCAGCTCTCCGCCCACGCGTCCGACGGGACAGTGCGGCAGAGGCCAAGGCCGGACTGGACCGCCTGCACCCTCAATGGCCTCCTCAGGATACAGACTTGGGTCGGCCATATAGCCCAGGTGACGAGTTCCATTGTAGACAGAAGCATACTTTTTGGCAAGACTTGCTAGCTTCTGATTCTTCACCTGCATCGGTTGAGCACAGGTCGCATGACTGCCAACTGGTTCCAATTGCCGAAGAAGCAGACCCAGGTCAATGAGAGCACAGGAGCAGTGGATGGGGTTGCCCATCAGATTGAGGCTCTTCAGGTTGACAAGTCGTTCGAGGGAAAGAGGCAGGACAGATAGGCTGTTCAGTGAGAGGTCGAGGACCTCCAGACTGGGAAACTGCTCCATAAAGTTGTCAGGCAGACGTGTTAGCCTGTTGTGACGCAGTGATAGTTCCCTCAGTGAGGGTAGGTTCTCAAAGGCCCCATCATCCACCGTGGTAATCTCATTGTTTGATAAGTCGATCTGTTCAAGGTCAAGAAGGTCAGCAAAGGAGCCATTTGGTAGAGCTGCCAATTTGGTTCGCATCTGAGCGAAGTACTGCAGAGCCCCGCCATTTGGCTCCGGCAGAATGTGGGGTAGACGACTGGGAAGTGTAGTGGCCTCGGGTCTGCGACAGACAATCGACTGGCCGTAGCATACACAAACATCAGGACAGAACTGATCTTCCTTCCCCTGCTCCTCCTCCTCCTCCTCCTCCTCCTCCTCCAGCCCCTGGGCAAAACTGGTTCTGTCCAGGAGCAGATAAAGCAGGAGGAGGAAGCAACCGAGCTGCAGCAGTGCGCGCCGCATGAAACCTATTTTTTGATGAAATGCCAGAACGCGTTGGCTTTTAGCCTGCAGCATGCCACACAACGGGCTAACCTCAAAACGGGCTCCAGGTGAACACGCACACACGCACACCTCCTGGCTACCGGAAGTACAAACTGAAGTCTGCGATTTGCAAGTATGTCCAAGGGGAGACGACACTCAAATTCACGGCAGTTTGTGAAACCTGGGCCCGGATGATTGGTGTCGTTCAAGTGTACCCTGTGGCTCAAACTGGACAGGTACTTTGGTATTTTGGCGCCATCCTGATGAATCGTAGTGGCGCTGATGATCATGATGGTACCCAAGTCAGGCAGAATGGTCAGGGCGAAGATACGATGCATGCTGTTTCATAAACTGACCGATGTTTGCGCCGTGATCCGTCGCACACACACCCCCATGCACACCCGCACAGGGTTCAGAATTGTTTACCGTGTTAGACTTTCGCAAACACGCTTGTGGGTGTCATCGAGACCCAAGGAGACTGGTCAGGCGTTCGCTAATGTCCAGGTTGTCACACGTGCCTTACCAGTTCACATTTTGTGGTTTTATGTTGAAAAAGAAAAACAGGGTAAGATGTGGTTATGTAGCCCCACCTGATGGGCGCAATACTATTCGGTTATAGTTTAGGGCTGCGGTTAAGTGTTAGGGTTAGGGGTCAGTGCTTAGGATTAGGCGGTAGATGTTAGGGGTTAGGGCAACTATTTCTCAACTACTCAAAGTAAAACCGCGCATTGCCAATAGCTTTTCTTTTGCATATAACTAGTTGACCTCGTCTCCTGTGCGTTCCCCGGCCCCACCTGTAAAAACCCCTATTACCACCGGTCCCGTATTACAGGTGGCTGGGGTTTGTTTACTTCAGGTGGGGCTACATAACCACATCTGAACGAAAACAGGTTGCCAGAATGCTAATCAGGAATGAATCTGTCCACTTGGATCGACAGGGATAGAATACACAAATGAACTGTACTGGCCGGAAAGACGACTACGATTGCAGGTTAGACAACTTCTGACTTGAACGGGAACGACCAATAGACCGTCCGCTGTACCGAGGATGGTCCTTGACACACTATCTTGCGTTATTTATGTTCTTCATTGGCGTTTTTTAATCAGTTAGCTTCAACGGTAACGGCTCTTTTCTCTTAGCCAAGAGCGTAAGGCCAACCATCCCAAATGAGACATTCGTGGGCATTTGAGTAAGGTGTTCATGGAGTACATTAACGCTGTTTCTGTCCTCTGCCTGCAGTATCCCTCACAGCACTACGTAAAAGAGTCAATCTGGCGGGCGCTTACCACAAATCTCCCAGATATGGCTGCTCCATCGGCGTTAATTTCGATCCAATATTGTAAAAATAGAAGCGAAGAGAGGAGTCCCAGGAAGTAGTCGTGAAAAATGAGACACGATCGCTAGGACAAGAGCTTTATTCGCATGACGTTTTGAATTCCTGCTAGAACCCGTCATCAGAGACAATAGCTGATACAGGTATCTGCTTTCGTCGCTGATGATGGGTTCGAGTAGGAATCCGGAACGTCAGGCGAATGAAGCTTTTGTCCCAGCGATCGTGTCCCCTTCTTCATTGCGAAAATACTTAGCATGGCAGAAGGTTCCCGAGCCTGGTAACCAACAGTCTGACTTTGATTGTCCGCTCAAATTTAATAATCTGAGAAAGGTAGAAGGCCCTACTATCCAAATTCTACCGAGAAAAAGAAGTGAGTCTGAGATGACCCTTTCAGTCTTATACACCGTCGTTAGCTAAAAGTACCCCAAACTCGTACTGGGCTACGGCCGAGGATGGGACCCGGTCCTAGTTGACCACTGAACCAAACTTGCAATCAGTTCAGTTACGTACTTACACCCTGTAAAACGCCAGCCGGAATATTAAAAGTCGCGCTAGCAAGGGCGCCCACTGACTTGCTTTGACTGCGGAGTGGGATAGAGATGCAGTGCTCTATGTGCGATCTAGTCCCCCTCTACTGACGTCTCAACAGGGCCAGCAACTCTTCTCCGACCGGATCAGGCTTTGTGCGCAGTTTCGCTGATGCCCGAAAGACACGCCTATCTTAAACGTTACCGGTGAGTGTGGCTGCTGCCTTCACTGTCGGTGAGGGTTGAGTGACAGGTGCTGAGGGAGTGAAATGTCGTCCGTCACATGCAAACAAACTCCACCAAGTGTCAATCCACCATGATGGCTGGACCTCTCTCTCTCGTCCGAAATGCAACAGTTCGTCGCCCAACTCTACGAGGACCCCACCATTACCTGCAGAGGCAGTGAGGGTCTGAGCATGAAAGAGTTTGGGACGGCGGGTGTACACCACATCGACCTAGCTCCCTCTTTGCACACGACCAGGGTATGCGAATGGCAGGAGGGGGGCCGAGACAAGAGGGCCGACTAGGTATTCATCTCCGTCCCTCGAGTGCCGCGTGTTTATCAGCCTTTAAAGCGAGAAAAAGAATAAATTCCGTGTCTTCGGAGGTCATATGTACGAGAGTAAATGTACGGACATATCAAAAAGGAGCCCTCGCAGTCTGACTCGATCTCAAGGAGCGAGATATCTCGTCAGACGGTAGCCCTCCAAGCCACAACGTTAGAGGCGCTATAGCAGCCTGATTAGACGTCTGAATGATCAGAGAGAGAAAATTTGGAGTTATATCGGCCTCAGTTTTGTTTCTGTCTTACCATGTGCCAGAAACCAGACATCGACAGAGTTTATTCGATAATAGCGCGTGTTTACCTTGGTGACACCAAGTTGCTAGAGCAGTTAATTGGGGGGTTAGGGCCAGGCGACGCGAAGTCGAGCAATAACTGCTGAAGTGGTTGAGGTGAAAGCGGCGTGCAAGGTAACGAAAAATAACCTAAAGGACAGTAATTCTCAGAATCCTATCAATAAATCGATTCCGGCCTGGATGTAGGACAGCCATTCCTATCTCACGGTAATCTTTCTTGCCTGGCAGTATAAGGCTTTCTTTGACACCTCGCTCACAGAAACGACCCCGTACCCCTGAAGGACCTTTCTGATATTGAAAGTCCGTTTATGTTGTGTAACCTAAGCGGGCGCCAGTGTTTTGAAGAATAAAACGATTTTAAATTACGTTTCCTCTGCATCTAAGATCATTTGAAACGACAATCTGTGTTTACACCAGTAAGCGTGACGTTTGCCCGATGTAGATACTCCCACAGTGATAACATACTGACCTATGCATAAAACTATAATTCTGGCCGAATTCGAGTGGATCTTCGGCTATCTTAAACCTCTTTCAGATAGTGATTCAAGTGTCGGCAACTGTCCTCGAAGTAATCGAAATGAAAATTTGTCATATTGCATCACAGACGCCGGGCACATGGACTATCGAAACGGAGGCGATCTATTTGTTGGTCGGTTTGCTTGCAGGCTTTACATCCTGATTTCCACTGTTGAAAGTGACGTTATTAGAATGAGAATAATTGCCTAACTGCTTTCTGATTAGTCGCCTCTCCTCCATCAAATCCCTGAATCTAGAACGTAGTTGAGTAACTCGTGTGAAGAGGGATGCAAGCTTGTGCGTAGGTTTGCCGTAAACCCTCTTATCGATTTTATGTCTGAACTCTTTTTGTCCCGTCCAAGTATTCATTATTCTACACGAGTCATTTGACATAACCAAAACCAATCTACACATGTCGATCGTAAATTCACCAGTCTTTTCTTTTCACCGCGGCTTTGGATTATAATTGGTTTCTGGTCGTCTTGAACTGTTACTACTGTGTCCTTTTAAGTAGCCCGTAATATTCAACTATTAAATTTCAGCAGCAAATTCTCACGGGGGAGCAGCGTTTGATTGCGTCAGAAAAGTTGATTGCAGCTCGGTCAGCTGCCAGTGATCACGTTAATCAACAGCTAGGCGAAGAATGAGAGACAGAATAGAAACGGCTGAGGTAACGTGCCCTTACCAACAAGGTGTGAAGGAGCTTGTCTCCAGTTAACGACTGCACACACAATCATGATGCAATTTCGGCGAAATTGTATGCTTGGACCAGTGTCAATCGACCTCAACGAGTGTCCATACCGCTTCTGAGACAATTCAGGACCTGCGGGAACATAAACGCAAGTTTACACTCAGTCGTCTGAATTTTGGTGTCTAGCTGTACAAAGTTTTGGGTGGGGGCCACTGCGATTCGGACAGGATTAGGTGAGTTTATAGAAAAGAGTGAGTGCATTTTGCTGAACACACCTACAGTAGGTGGGTTAGCTTATGAAATGTCAACCGGAATTCCGACATGCGTTTTCGTTTCGAAAAAATTGATTAAGTAGGGTTTTAAAACCAATCATTATGCAGCGCAATTCTATCACAATTCAGCTACCTCAGGATGTCGGCTTTCGAACGACCTTTTTTCGGCTGCGTGCAGGAAATACACTCTGCAAAAAATGACTATCTAACTAGCATGCATTTTTCTCATTGATTTTCGATGCCCTTAAAAATCAATTATATTTCATGGAAAACATGCATAAAAATATTCATCCTTTTACTCATTCGGTAAGAAATTACGTCTTCTGTCGATTTTATACCCGAAGGAAGGGTATGTTTTGGTTTTAAAAAAGTTTCTAATTGTGAGATTTTTAATACTGTGAAATGACTGTTCATAAAACGTCATGTCTCTGCATTTACTAGTGTCGCCTTTAGAGTTAACAATATGGCTCAAATCCACTGCTACATTCTATGAACCCCATATGATCTCCTCTGAATACCGTAGAGATATTTACGTTTTTCCGTACGCGGAAACCCTGAATGCAAGTGTAACGACAGGTCGAGTTCAAAATTATTCGGGAGTTGGAAAAGTTTTTTAAAACCGAATTAAACCCTTCCTTCGAGTGTAAAATTGACAGAAGACGTAATTTACTACCGAATGAGAAAAAGAATGAATATTTTCATGCATGTTTTCTATGAAATATAACTGACTTTCTATGGGCATCGAAAATCAATGAGAAAGATGCATGCTAGTTAGATATTC